GCCCCCCCGGGGGGGGGGGGGGGGGGGGTGCTCGCTTGCTGGGGACCGCACAGCCGCATGCGCCAGCCTGCCGGCGTGGCCATGCCATGCCCTGCCGGCGCTGCTGCCGCTCCCCCACCCCACACTCTCGCTCAGTGCCCACTGTGCCTGGCTGCCCCTCGCCTCCTGCAGGCGGGCATCCCGCTGGCCGGCATGCACGGCCTGCACCTGGGCAGCAGCAGCGACATGCACATGATGAACAGCGCGGCGATGATGATGGCGGCGGCACATGCGCAGGCGCACGGCGGCGGCGGCGGCAGCCCCCCCGGCGGCCACGTGGGCCGGGGAGGCGCCATCAAGCTGGGCCGCGGCGTGGCCGACCCCTCCGCTTACGCCCACAAGCTCTTCATCGGCCAGATACCCTTTGAGGTGCGGCGGGCGGCAGCAGGGGCCCATGGAGGGCCGCAGGGCCGCCTGCCTTGCTACTCTCGCGCCCCGCTGGCGCCAGCCGGCCGCGCCCGTGCCTGACGCCGCCTCCCTGCCGCCCTCCATGCCCCCGCCCCGCCCCGCCCCGCCCCTTCCTGCAGGCCATTGAGCAGGACCTGTGGGCGCTGTTTGCCCCCGCCGGCGACATCCTGGAGCTGGCCATCCTGCGCTCGCAGGGGCGCTCCAAGGGCTGCGCCTTCCTCACATACGCCTCGCGCCAGCAGGTGCGCCGGCTGCTGGGTGGGGCTGGGTGGGGCGCGGCGCCCGCGGGCAGCCTGCCGCGCGGCCAAGCCTGCGCGAGCCTCCGCCACGCGGCGCCGGTCCGCCAGATGCCTCTGCCAGCGCGGCCTGCGCCCGCGCCCCGGCCGCGGCCCCTCCCCTCACCGCCGCCTGCGCGCCGCCGCCTGCCACCTGTCGTCTTGCAGGCCACCTCCGCCATCAACGCCTTCAACGGCCGCCAGGTGGGCCCCAGCAAGCGGCTGGTGGTCAAGTTTGCGGACCAGAAGGCGGCGGCGGCCTGAGGGCGCCGCAGCGACGCGCGCCGCACCCCTTTTTGCACCGAGCGCATTCTTGCAGGGCCGGCAGCCGCTGCCTCTCTGCCACCTGCCTCCAACCTGACCGCGCACGAGAGCCTCGCAGCACTGTTGGGGCGGCAGGCAGCCCCCGTGCCCTGCCCTGCCCCCCGCCCCATCCATCCTATCCATCCATCTCATGCCCCGCTGCACTGATTGTATGCCCCACACCTTGATCAGTGGCCTCCCTCTTTTCTTCTCTCTCCGCTTAGAGTTTGTTTGTTGGTATGTGCCGCTGACGTACCGCTGCTGCGTACTGATTGATTTGGCTGTCCAATTGGTGGCGGCGCCCTTGTGCTGCCAGCCGGGAGTCCACTCCCAAGCTCGCGCTCTCTCACCCCCCATCCCACCTACTAGTCCCCCCCTTGTTCGCACTTGCTCGCCCCTCGCTGGCCCGGTTTGCTTGCGTCTCGCGCAGCCCCCCAGCCGATACTAGTACTCCTCAGGCCCTGCTCCCCTGATTTGATGCCCATGCCCCTCTCAACAATCCATCCACGCAAACCCAATCATCTTACCGCCCTTTTGTGTTGCCCGCCGCCCCCGGCTGCGCGGCCCCCTCGGTCGTCTGAGCAATGAACTGGGCGGACACTTGCCTCTGCTGCGCGCGCCGCCCCCCTCCCGCTTGGTCACGCGCCTCATTCATTGGCACCCCGCCTCCCTGCCCGCCCCGCGCCTGCGCCCTGGGCTGTGCTGCGGCGTGCCTTCGTGATTGTGTGTGCGCTGCCGCCGCGCCCGGCGGCTGGCATGCGCTGTGGCTGGCCGGCCCGCGTCCCGCGGCCGTCAGCCGTCTGGTGCCCAGTAGAGTGCCTCTCAGCACTGATTCTCTCCAATTCCTATCGGCCATCCATCGATTGCGTTTAGCCTTCCTTTGCTCCGCTTCAAACAAATGCCGCCCTCCAGGAACTTCGCTCTCACTCCCCACTAATGCATGCATGCGGGCGCTCGCGTGCCCTTTGTAACCTCCTTCCATCGATTTGGCTTGTGGGACGGATGGAGAGTGCAGGCGGTCTGGTCCAGGGGTCTCTGTGCTGGTCACCTGCGCTCTGCGGTACCGACGCCAGATATCGGCGCCCGCGACGGTTGGCGGGGCGGCACACCGTTGCTCCAGGCCTCGGCTCAGCCGGTGCCCTGAGGCCATCTCAGAACATCCATGGTGCTGTCACTCCTCTAGGAAGCCGTGTTTCACGGGTCCCAGAGGCCACTGCCTCTCTCAGCCGCTCGGTCAGCAATATCCGGTTGGCGGGAGGGCGCAAGGCGGCGGCGGCAGGCTCGGCGTCTGCCCCCGCGCAATCGGCTCGCAACCCACGAATTGGATCACCGAATCATGTCCCTGGCAGCGTGCGGCATGCCCCATGGCCATGGTAAGCGTCGCTGCAAAAACCACTCACCGAACGGAGCACGCAGCAGGGGCTGAAGCAGAGCCATGGGCTGCCCAAGACGCCGTCTGGCATATCTGAGTGTCAGTCTTGGCTTGTGTGGGCGTGCGTGTAGGCCGGACTCCCCTCCAGCGCAAGTTTGTGTGATTACACCTACAGCAAAATGGCCACTGTGCAGAGTGCGCGCTCCGCCGCGCCGGCGGCCCAGTCCCTGACGATCAAGAGGGCTCTTGTGCAGAAGCCCGTCGTGCAGCGGTTCAACAAGGCGGCAGGGCAGAAGCAGGCTACCCGCCATGCGGCCGTGCTGAACCAGGCCGTGGCTGCGGCCCCTGCCTACACCCCTACCAGCTCCGTGGCCACCCCTAGCGCCTCCAAGCCCATGGACATTGTGAGCGGCCGGGGGCGTCGCTGATCGGCCAAATTGCTGGGGTTGACTTGATGGCGGCGGGAGGCTGGCGCAGGCCGTCCTGTTGGCAACCAACCCTTCCCACCCTTGATGCAGGTGTTTGTGTCCGCCGAGGTGGCTCCCTGGAGGTGAGGCCGCGCCATTCTAGCCGCCGCGCGGCATCGCGCTCGAATGGCGGCGCCCGCCGCCTGGCGACACCTGGCGTGCCCTCTGCGCCTCGCCTGTTGTAGGCCCAAATGAGCCCCATCCTCCCTGCTCCAGCCCCTGCACCCTCACCGCTCCCTGCCTCCCGCCTGCCCTGCCCCTGCAGCAAGACCGGCGGCCTGGGCGATGTGGTGGGCAGCCTGCCCGTCGCGCTGGCGCAGCGCGGCCACCGCGTGTTCACCATCGCCCCCCGCTACGACCAGTACTCCGATGCCTGGGACACCACCGTCACCGTCAACGTGGACGGCGAGGACGGTGAGGCCCGGGCGCCGCACGCACTGCGCGGCGCACGCATGCCGGGCTCGCCCACGCCTGCCCGCACTGCGTGGGCAGCGTACCGCGGCAGCGCCTCACCCAGCCCTGCCCTCGCTCCCCGCCCCTCCTCCCCCCCCCCCCCCCCCAGTGCGCTTCTTCCACACCGTGAAGAAGGGCGTGCACCGCGTGTGGATTGACCACCCCGCTTTCCTGGCCAAGGTGTGGGGCATGACCGGGTCCAAGCTGGGGATCCTCA